CAATCTCTTCTCCAATTCACTCTCTTCGTCAGCCTGTTTTATGCAGTCCTGCCTTGTTTGCTTTCTGCTCCGGTCTCCATTTTTCCTACAACTTTGAGGATGCAGCGAAATTCTCTCTTGGAATCACCAATTTCTCTCTTCTCCACGCATCAAACTGAAAAGACTTGGCAATTTACAGACATTTCATTTGCGAATGCCAACCAGAAACAGAAGGTGCAATCCAATTTTGCTTTAATATCACCTTCAAGTTGACACACTCCACCTCTTCCATGCCTGACGCATGTACCTTCTCGAGCAGTTCGAGGTATACCCTCCATTAATGGCCCATCTCGCATGAGCAATGCAAAGTATGAGGATTGGTAGAAATGAGCCAAGATGGGGTGGTTTTGTTGTAAGAGAAGATAAGAAAAATCATAGCCGTCCTCTATGGACATCGGACGCTATTCTATTTCTTTAAGTATTAATTCACAAGGTTGTACAAACTCGTCCTTCTTCTTTTCGGTCGTCACCTCGCAACCAGTTTTATTCGGCCACCTTTCTGAAATTATCTCAATGAGACTTGGCTTTCAATCTATTTCACTTTGACTACAGTTGCTTTTGCCCACCAAATCCATTTTAATGCGGTTTCACTCGATTTTTAAAACTGAACTGCGTAGTCCTTTGCTTTTATTTCATTATCTTCTTTTCAAATGACTCTGCTTACCATTTTTTACCAAATTGACGCAATCTCAACCTTTAATTTATTACGTCTTCCTCACTGAATCTTTTAATTATCTCCACTTTGAAACCTCTGATTATTCTTGAAATCTTTTACGTACTTTTGCATTTTCGTTAGCTTATAATTTATCATTTTTCAATATTTCCTTCCTTTTCTGCTCCTTTTCAGTTATTAAATTTTATCCCAGACTCTTTTAGCCTCATTTATATTTATTTTCTTTCTACTTTCCATTTTAATCATCCGATAGTAATCTCTCCCACCAAAATTTATGTTCCTATTTTCCCATTTTCATTCAAATTTTTCAGTTATTTTGCTC